GTATTTTCCATTCTCTCGTAACAAAATGGTATTTCGTGACCTACTTGATGTTTTTCTCAGTTTGCAGTATTTCTACACTAATTTTAATTTAAAAAATGGCCACAATATTTTCCTGAATTGATCTAAATGCAAAAATATAACTTTTATCACGATCGCATCGGTATGGCTTTAATCAAAAAATGTTTATAGTAAATAATATGCACACTTTGAAACTTTTCCGTACTAAAAAGGGTGCCATATTTCAGACCTTATAGAATTCTGACGAGTAGCTCTATCAGGAAGTGTTCGTGACAAAAGTGTGGATATATACTGAAATGTACATTTGATTGCTATAAGTGCATACATAAAAACATAGCGTTTTAAAAGTACCACAAATTCAAATAAACCGGTAGTGATCTCCCTTAAACTTTCTCGAATATTCTTATATAAAACAACAGGGGATGGTAACTGGGGATATAGTTATGATTTTTAATCCATTTTAAATACTTAAACTTTTAAAAATAGAATAGAATCTCATAAAAAAAACCATTGCGCACCAAGCGAACGCCGAATAAAAACGCGTATAATAGTGCGCAATATTATTAGTACTTTAAAAATTTACATTAGTTTTTTGAGAAATCGGAAGTAGCGTAAATTACTACTTCCAATCAACGGAAATTACTCAAAATTTAACAGAAGGTAGAGAATTAGATCTTTTACTTACATGTGAAATTTCATTTATCTATCTAAAATAGTACTCAAGTTATAGGCTTTTGAAAAATTCAAAGTAGGAAAAGTACCACTTCCGGTTGTCGGAAATCGCTCAAAAGTTGATACGGATCTACGATTTTGATATAATACTTATATATGAAATTTCATCAACCTAGCTGTAACGGTACTCAAGTTATCGTGTTTACACACGGACACACACACACACAGACACACAGACACACACACACAGACATACGGACAAGATTGCAAAATTATGTTTTTCCGTATCAGTGAGGTGTAAAACGTCGAGAACTGTAAAAATCTCGATTTTTTTTTTGCACGATTACAATACTTTCTCTATACTTCGTATATACGAGAAAGTAAAAAGGAGGTTTTTTTTGGGTTTCCATGACATTGGAAATTCTTTTCAACCTTTAATGTGCTAAAGATGTTAAAAGTATTCAAAAGGATTTAGATATTAAATTGTATAAAATTATAAATAAACTGCACATAACCCCTTAACCCTTACGTTTATGTTATTTACTGTATGCAAACCTAAATGTATTAAACGTTGAACTATTATTGTTTGACTCTTTTACTGAGTCGTTAAGTATTGACAAAAAGTATTTAAAAGTAACGTAATTATAACAAAACACTGTAAAGGACTTCTGTAATAATTGAAAACAAGAATATAACGATAGATAGGGCACCTCATGAGAATGAAACCAGGTTACATTCAAGTAATGGCGCTAAAGAAAATAAAGCAAGGTTGGCCAAAATAAACGTGTAAGCGCACGACGAGGAAGTAGCTGGCACATTGCCGGGGACCAACAAATGCGGATGGAGATTTTCTGTGGCAGCCTAAATGTATTGGGCACATAATGGAAAAGATGATGGATAAATACATGGATTAAATAATCACCAATCCCTAGCTTTTCGTCATAATGGGTTTCCTGTACTTTCGCATACTTTGTCCATTTTTTAAGAAAATGTTAGCTTTAATGAGAAAAAAAAAGTTAAGTATTTAAAATACCATTTTTACGACCCTATTACTTAACAATCAATCATTTTTTTCCCAATCTTACGGGCACTCTGAAAAAAAGTTTTATATCCGTCATCATATTGTGTTCGACATCATTGGAAAGCTTGATTTCTCATGTATTTGTTAATATTAATTTCCATCATCTCGGAAACACCCAAAGCTTACAATCAGCTTGCAGTTTACACAGTTATAGTTTTTGTGACCTACTATTCGTTACTTCTGGCTGTTTTTCACAGTTCGCAGGTTTTTAACTTCAAAACACCAATAAAAAATGCTGACTGAGACAAAAAAACAAACAAAAACATGGTGAGTAATGCATGCTTTTGAGATCAGCTTGGCGGTAGGGAAAAATCTAGGTCGCTTAAACATGGGCAGGCAGTACAAAACACAGATTCAAACATGTTTAGGCTAATATTTAATGGGAAGGTAATAAGCATGTAGCAGCTCTGCAGCTCTATGTATTTAAGGAAAAAAATGTAAAACCTCATCCCATTCCTCTTCATTTATAGTATATCTTGATAATAATTGAATTAAGGCATACAGCTTAGTTTTTAGAAGTGTTCTGTCTTCCGCTTCCGCGGCTTTAGTTATTCCATCTAGTAAAAACCGCTTTATTTCTCCTAAAGGTATAGGTAAGAACAAAAATGTCATTAACATTAAAAAGCAGTCATTATTACACAACCATATTAATTCATTAAAAAATAATTACTTAACTTGTTACTTAAATAAACCTGGAGTGATCTCCCCTAAACTTTCTCGAATATTCTTATATAACTTGAAATGTAGACATGATTTTTAATTACTTAAACTTTAAAAAAAATTCATAAAAAAACGTTTTAATAACAAGCTTTTATGTAATAATGCACTAAAAAGTAGAAAATAAATTATAGACTACTATTTAAATTACTATAAAGAAAAGCGTGGGTCTCTTTAGTACCTATTACCTTTACTAATATTTGAGAAGAGACCCACGCTTTTCTTTATAGTAATTTAAATAGTAGTCTATAATTTATTTTCTACTTTTTAGTGCATTATTACATAAAAGCTTGTTATTAAAACATTTTTTTATGAATTTTTTTTCAGTACTTTACATGTTTTATTTACAATAGAGTTACATGACTAAAAACCATTGCGCGCCTACTAAACATCACGTTCAGTAGGCGCGCAATGGTTTTTGAACGCAGCCATTGAACGTGATGGCGCAGCTATTGAAGGTGATGACGCGTGTGGTGTGGTTGGCTAGACATGCCTACTAATTCGGTCCAAATTTTAATTAATTCATTAAAAATCAGTTAGGCATCCAATTAAGTCAAATTTAGTTTCAGATTGCATTGTCTTCATGTCTTCATCCACGTGCCAAATGTGAATCGTATCTGTCAAGTAGAACTGTCCGAATTTTCACTCCTACGTTTCCGTCTAGACAGACTGACGACAGACAGAGGAAGTGAGTTAAATAAAAGCTTGTAAAAAATTTCATCAAAAACGTTTTAATAACAAGCTTTTATGTAATGATGCACTAAAAAGTAGAAAATAAATTATAGACTACTATTTAAATAACTATAAAGAAAAGCGTGGGTCACTTTAGTATCTATTGGATACCTTTACTAATGTTAAGGAAGACACCCACGCTTTTCTTTATAGTTATTTAAATAGTAGTCTATAATTTATTTTCTACTTTTTAGTGCATCATTACATAAAAGCTTGTTATTAAAACGTTTTTTATGAAATTTTTTTTCAGTACTTTACATGTTTTATCTACAATAGAGTTACATGACTAAAAACCATTGCGCGCCTACTGAATATCACGTTCAGTAGGCGCGCAATGGTTTTTGAACGCAGCCATTACGTGGTCGTGATGGCGCAGCTATTGATGACGCGTGTGGTGTGGTTGGCTAGACATGCCTACTAATTCGGTCCAAATTTTAATTAATTCATAAAAAATCAATTAGGCATCCAATTAAGTCAAATTTAGTTTCAGATTGCATTGTCTTCATGTCTTGACCCACGTGCCAACTGTGAATCGTGTCGGTCAAGTAGAACTGTCCGAATTTTCACTCCTGCGTTTCCGTCTAGACTGACGACAGACTTACGACAGAGGAAGTGAGTTAAATAAAAGCTTGTAAAAATAGAATAGAATCTCATAGAAAAAAGAATTGCGTACCAAGCGAACGCCAAAACAAAATGTGCATAATAGTGCGCAATATTATTAGTACTTAATTTACATGGTTTTTTTTTGAGAAATCGGAAATAGCGTAAATTAATATTTCCGGTCAACGAAAATTATTTAAAATTTGAGAGAAGGTAGAGAATTAGATTTTTTACTTACCTGTAAAATTTCATTTATCTATCTGAAATAGTACTCAAGTTATAGGCTTTTGAAAACTTCAAAGTAGGAAAAGTACCACTTCCGGTTATCGAAAATCGCTCAAAAGTTGATACGGATCTACGATTTTGATAATATACTTATATATGAAATTTCATCAACCTAACTGTAACGGTAATCAAGTAATCTTGTTTACTCACAGACTGACAGACAGACACACACACAGACACTCAGACATACGGACAAGATTTTGCAAAATTATGTTTTTCCGTATCAGTGAGGTGTAAAACGTCGAGATTTTTAAAAATCTCGATTTTTTTTTGCACGATTACAATACTCTCTTTATACTTCGTATCTGCGAGAAAGTAAAAAGATTATTTCGACACTCGGTTAATTACTACTGCTAACTAGAAAAAAAAGCATAAGTAGTAATTTTATTGTTTTAATTTCCTTTATGCAGATGACACTGAATGCTATTATGTTAGAGCAATATTGTTCCGTGTGCTGACAAGCCAAGTTTCTACTCAAGATCGATTGTAATTGTTAACTTTGTTTCATAAAGACGTGTATATCACAATCACCTTCAGTTTGAAACTCGAAACTAATAGAAACATGACAATGTTCTAACATTCTCAATATACTAAATACATTCAAATTTCTGAAAGTGAATATTTTATAACATATTTAATATGCTTGGCTAATTTTCTTTATTTCTCTACCAATTCAGAGAAATACTTTCTATTAAAATTCAAATAAATATCTTAATCTGTTACATATCTTAGAATTAAGTGCCCAAGTCGTAATTATGGGGTAACGTGTCCCGGAATGGATGTCTGGAGATTAACTGACTGACACCATCAAGTATACGTATACAGTAACAGTTATATCTAAATACGTATGTAACATTAAATTTAAAGTTATGTGATTGTAGTGAAAAATAATTACCGCGGGTCTCACTTTGTAAATTACCGATTTGCAAAAGTAGCAACTTTGAAACCAGTAATGTCCTTTGGTATTTAAAGTTGAAGTTCAAAATCGCCTAAATCATACAAAATTGTATTGTAGAAAACATGAAATCAACAACATTAAAATAGTGATTACATCAATACATTATAAATCAATGTGATTGGGTTTGTTAAGTGATTAGGTGTATTAATTTAAATTCTTGTTAAACCAAAAACATGTAGTTTTTACTTTGGCAGGATTTAAAAATGTCACCTTTCCTTAACCCATATTCTGCTAGCGTCCCACTTATGGGACGCTTGTAAAAAAAATTGCTAAAATTTATTAAAAACTAGTTAAAACACAAATTATGTTTCATTGTATTTGAAAATGGCTAGACTATTGAATTTGTGTGTGTTTTGTGAAAAAAATTAATTTAGAAAAATGTTATAGTGCCGGATTTGCAGGACTTGTCAAAATGGCGAAAAAAAGAAAACATGCGCACAGGAAAATGCATATCTTCTAAAATATTAACATTTTAAGTGCAAAATACATTTGAAACTTGTAGCAGTACCATATTTCTATCTGATAAAAATTTAAGAATAACAATTTTTTTTTACTACTTCGTTATATCAAGTGTACAACAAGCGTCCCATAAGTGGGACGCTAGCAACGAATGGCCCCATGTAGATTGTTACACAAACGTCACATTTATTGGACACTAGCGAGAAACACAGATGCAAATGTTTATGTTAAATAGTTATTTATGGTGAAACAATTGTTGACTTTGTTAACTGCTGACTTTGGGGTGTTAACTAGTATTTATAGATATTTAATTATGACCTTGACCTATATTTATGCAGATTGTTACACAAACGTCACATTTATTGGACACTAGCGAGAAACACAGATGCAAATATTTATGTTAAATGGTTATTTATGGTGAAACAATTGTTGACTTTGTTAACTGTTGACTTTGGGGTGTTAAGTAGTATTTATAGATATTTAATTATGACCTTGAGCTATATTTTCTTATATATTATTGTATTAAAAAATTGCAAATATTGAAAAACTTACATTTTATTTTTAAGTTTTCAGAATTACACTTACTGAAGTATTTAATACCATTGAATACAAACTAATTTAGTATTGCTGTAAATTTACTAGCGCGTGATATTAAAATTATAACAAACCAGAATAATAACAATGGCCACGATTTAGGTGAAATGATTCAGTCATGGGGGTTGGTGAACTCTCTTCATATAAGAGAGCTTAAGCTACATATAGCAGAAATGTGAATTAGCTGTGTACAGTTGTCATGCCCCAATAATATTCCCCTCCAAAGGTTCCCCATACCAGTTTTACTTTGTTAACTTTTTAAGGAGATCCCTGGTGTTAGATTGGGAGCCGTTCGCATAGTGAGGTGCATAGATGGATGAGAGCCATGAACACTCAGTACAAGCCCCCAGAGATGGATCCGTGCCCTAGAAATAAGACGTCTGATGTCCTAATGTACGCCTGCGAGGGGGGGGGGGAATAGCGAGGGTAACAAAAGAGAAGATGGTTAGATGACATCTGGGACTGGACCGGATCATCTTTTGCAAATTCACTGAGGGCAGAGTTTCTTTCAGGCATCATTTCGGAGGAGGTGGGGGCTCTGCCCCCAGAACAAAATGGAATTTATATACAAAACATACTTTTACCAATGTCCACCCTTCCCCTGAAATTTTAGACCCCACCCCTGAAAATTTCAAGTACGCCCACCAAAAAATCAATTATTTATATTTAATTATATTACCGTTTTTGATGAATAATAACAATATTTGTGATCATGTGTGTCTAATTGGATGTACTAGTCACAGCTTTACTTATTTCCAAGTGTTATTCACTTTGATGGATGCTAGATTGAAAGAAAACTAGACTTTTGAACATAATTTCTGCATTTTAGACCATGGTATGGCTAACCCAATTGATCATTATCAGTATTTTTAGCTGTCCTAAACAATGTAATCATTGGTCTAACAATACAAAATCAGTATACAGCTTAATTTTCGCGTAAATAGTCATATTTCGTGATAAATGATTTTATTTTTTTTTTTTCCCACGTTTTCTTTAACTTGCTTTCTCTGTGTCTTTGTTTGTTTGTTTGTCTTTCCAATCAAATCTTGCGATCGAAATTTCTGGCACTTCCCAGTTAGCTAGCGCGCTGAAATTTTCAGGGAAGCTTTCTTTTGGATGACCATTGAATATTCAATTGTTATTATTACTAAATTGATCAATGGAAACATTTTATTGAGCATTTTAGACCGCTATATAATCTATATATATAATTCTCCTCTGCTAGCCATTAGAAAAAAAACCAGCGACGCGTACCTCGCGCGCAGTGAAGCGAACGATCACATGTCGCCACAGGCTTAGGGGCAGAGAATTTAGCTTGAACCGAGTTTAAACTTACAGGAGGTAGGCCAGTTTGGGGGAGACGATATGGTCGAGTGGTTGGGCACACGATTGCTATCCCACTCGACACGGGTTCAAATCTATGTGTTCTAGTCAGTAACGTATTCAAACAACGTGTTTTTTACGAGTTGTCTTTTTACGAGTTATCTTTTTACGAGTTGTCTTTTTACGAGTTGTCTTCGTTTACCCAAAAAAAGTGAAAAGATAAAATCGATAGCAAGATTTTAATGCAAACAAACAGACAAAGACTAAAAAGTAGAAAATAATAATCATTAAAAAAGTTTTAAAAAACCCACGTTTTCTGATTGAACTAAAAAGTAGAAAATAAATGCTATAGGCCCTACATCACAATAATGCAAGCGATCACTCTACTATAAGCGAGCAAAAACGTGGGGCGCCGTGATTTTCTTACAGTTTCTAATACTGTTGACTCTCTACAAGCTCCCTAATAAAAGTCAATAGTATTATCTAATCAATAGTAATATAACTTTTACTTCGGCGCCCCACGTTTTTGATCGCTTATAGTAGAGTGATCGCTTGCATTATTGTGATGTAGGGCCTATAGCATTTATTTTCTACTTTTTAGTTCAATCAGAAAACGTGGGTTTTTTAAAACTTTTTTAATGATTATTATTCAATAAATGTACATGGGGCCGTTCGTTGCTAGCGTCCCATTTATGGGACGTTTTTTAAAAAATCGATATTTAAAAAAGTATTGATTTTTTTTAAAAATCCATAGTCATTCCTTCATTCAGTGCCCAAAAGCTAAACCATATCAAAAAATTATAAAAATTTGAGACCTTGGGATAATATGGGTTAATAAAATGGCATCAACTTAAAACAAGTTTATTAATTAGGATCTAGCGTGTGGTAACATAAGAAGAGTCTTATCCTGGTCTTATTTTGAATTATTTGACACAAAAGGCATGTTAGTGCCGCTTAGGTCACAAGCAGTTAATGGTATACACGTTTTTATGCTTGTTTTTAGATAATAATCCGCATATTATACATTTTACTCATTTTACTGAAAAATTCATTGAATGATTTATTAATAACTTTCCAGAAAATATAATTAAATGCTTAAAAAAATAAATACTGAACTCAATAATTAATATGAAAAGCTATGATGACCGACAAAGATTTGATTTAAAAATTGGATAGCCCTACTGTTACATTTGTAAGAAAATTTACATCAAAATAATGTGCTAATGGCTAGAAGACATTTGCAATCAAAACATTAGAATAACGTTTGCTCGAGTAGATGATTTTATTAATGTGGCTATTTCACAAAACCACAAGATCGAACTGACGATTTGGGCGATTTTCCCATTCCGGTAAATTCTCGTCTTAGAGATGTCGTTTGAAAAAAACAGCCTACGGGTAAACGTAATTTGAACCAGTATCCTCGGGAATTTGACTTATCCACATCAATCATAATTAGGCTAGCAAGACAAAAGCGTATTTTGCCTCGTCACATAACTCAGTAATGTATCAAAAAGCTTAAAACCCAATAATAAAATATTATCGCTTCATTGCATTTTAATATGTTTCTGCTATGTCTATTCGAATATTAAAATATTAAATTCAGTGTAAGAACTAATTTGTAAATAGAAATATGTAACATCATATCGTTATGAAAATACGAATTACTTATGTAAAAATATTTCCGTAACAAATGTTACACTTAATTAATGAAGCTATTCAAGTTGTATAAAAGTATGTAAATGACCACCATGCCTAGCGAAAAACAACATAATTCGCATGTTCTACCGTAAATCATTACATTTTAAATCATTATTTAAATCATTACTTAGAAGTAAATATAACTATTGTACATCTAAAATAATCTAACTTACCTTAACTATGTCGTTATTGTTAAAGTATTAAATAGCGTCTTTCTTGATTGCGATAATCCATACAATTTTAATCAATTCGTTTATTATGTAATGAGTTTGGGAACACTGAAAAAATTGGCATACTGTTATATTAAGTGAAAATAATAATTATGTAAATTACTGTGAGTTATGAACATTTAAGTCGAATTCGTTAAGAAACAGAAACAGACAATTCCAAACACAATTTTAATTTAAAATGTTTTTTTTTGTTTTCAAATACTCAAATGTATCGAATCACAAGTAAGTAGTATATCCATATATATATAAATATATATATATATATATATATATATATATATATATATATATATATATATATATATATATATATATATATATATATATATATATATATATATATATATATACATCGTTAATCCGTGTACCCTGAAACTTTGGGGTGATGATTAGTTCACTCAATGGTAGGGTTCTGCAAAAAATATTGTTTAATATTGCAAGGGCGGCGCCCCCCGGGGGCGGGAACGATTTTTTTTCTCTATACACGGTATATAAAAAATAAAACTCGGATGCGGCTCATCCGAGTGCCATGAAACTTAAGAAAGTAGATGAGTATACTCCCGAGAATATTTCTGCGAAAAAGAAAACTAAATTTCTTATGGGCGGCGCCATATAGGGTACAACTTTCGTCAATACACGGTTTGGCCCCCAGAGTTTTAGAGCGACTATGTTGGCACTTGGCACCCGTTAATCGAGCGTCCTGCATAGCGAGTAAGGGGTACTACTATACTCAGCGGTAAAACTACAACAGTCTTCTAAAAAAACTTTTGAACGCGAGGAAATCCTTCTGTACAGTTTCGTCACCTTGCCAACGATGAAAAAAAAACTTTTTGAATATGAGGAGCCTACTGTAGAGTTTCGTCACTTTACGAATGATGCAATAAGCATCTACTATTAGACAATTCAGTCGCTAGCATATTGCATCAGTCACACTGATGTTTAAAACATGTCAAATACTTTTTTACGTGTTAAAGAAAAAAAGCCTGTTCATTTGTGGCACTTTAGCGAATGATGAAATCTGCATCATTATTAACAGGATGCTATTTGGCACGATGGCGCCTGTTAGTTTTAAGGAGCCAGGGGTCGTACGCCGAGGCTATGCGGTAGTGTAATGGGGGGGGGGGGGACCTGAGAGCGCCCCTCTACGTCTCTGACACATGGGCGGTCACCGAAGTGTGTTCTAACATATTATTTCGGTGAGTGATTAATGTACACTTATTGTTTACATGCGGTAGTGTAGGTAAACCTGTGTCCCAATATTTATGATTTAAGCGCAGGCATTGTTTACATTTAAATAACTCACTTTTAGAAAAGACGGTCACGCGTCTAAAAACACATGATTGGTAACGCGTCGGTGAAATCTTTCTAATACATTTCGTCATACTTTCTTCTATCCCCGCGGAAACGCGCGGATGACGGGTACGCTAGTATATATATATATATATATATATATATATATATATATATATATATATATATATATATATATATATATACATATATATACATATATATATATATATATGTATATATATATATATATATATGTATATATATATCTATATATATGTATATATATATATATATATATATATATATATATATATATATATATATATATATATATATATATATATATATATATATATATATATGTATAAATACATGTATTGTTGACTGCATTCTAAAAAATAACCAAGTGAACAGATAGATGCTTTTTAACATATTACTGCGTAGTACTTTATTTAAGGAAAATAGTACAGGCTTACACTACATGTTAGGATTGCGGAAAGTTAGAGGATTTAATATCGCACAGTCGTAATAATTACCACCAAAAATGTAATTAAATATAAGAAGATTGTCTTTTTATTTGTATTAGTTTTTTTTTTAGGAAAGCAAATAATATTCAAAACGATATGCCACCGGTATGGGTATAACAAAGATTTCATTTATTAGTGAAAAAACTATTGCAGTAGAGTAACTGTAATTTAGTGTTAAAAAAAACTAATATTTGTATTTTAACATATGTATAAATGTATATTACCTCTATAGCCTTATTTTTGATCAGATAGTCTGTTATTACCTTGACAATATTACACTCAGCCAAGCGCTAAGAATAAAATACTGATAAACTTTAACAAAATAAATGTGGAATGAATATGATTATGTTCAAACTTTTTTAAAAAGTTAGGTACAAAACATGCATTTACACAACTGCGTTAATTTAAAAGCATTATTTTTAATTGCTAAACACATCCTATTCAATCATAAACAACTAAATAAAAAAACCAGGTGAAAAGGCCCATTTCAAATACAATTTTTTTGCAACTATTGACTGTCATATTGGCACTAGAATAACGAAGAGAAAGTAGATAAAGCTCCCAATTGCCTGTGGTTGCCCAGCTTGATACGGGTGGTACCTAACAAATAATATATAATCATCTTCCAGCAATGAAAGCTACCACTGTCTCTAGCTCTACGCCAATAGCGTAAATATCTTATTTCTATATTTACTACACTAAAAGCTTGGGCTAATTGATGAAAGCTGGATGGGGTCCATGTGTCAAGTCCACACTCTACAACAGGTGAACGACGGAATGGAAAAGGCGTTTCATATACAAACTTCCATCTGCTGTGCCGCAGGAGCTTTCAGTATACATTGTGCTAGTGGTGTAGCAAGGATTTTCAGGCCTCTATGCAAAAATTATCAGTGGGGTCCCTTTGTCAGCCGTAAGGCTACAACAAAGTTAAACAAAGAAATCAACTGTTACTTCCGATGTAGGCTTTTAAATAATTTAAATATTTTGTACATTTTGTATTTTATACTTCCTTTTTTGTATATTTGTCTAATATTATTGGATAGGACTACTACCCCGTAGATTTGTAAAATAATTTACTGGCTTACAAATAATGTGTTTGTTATTTTTAAAGTAACCAAACACATTAGCGTCACAAGGCGGGGATAGGGATGCGGTCCGCATGGCTGACAATATTTTGGCGTGAGACCATGACGAAACATTGTAAAAATTACTGTTAAAAGTAAGTTGTATTAAGCTAAAATAATAAGATAAATAAGAGACGGGTGACAAACCACCGAAAGTGCAAAGTTCTTAAGGACGTCGGGATGATACTATAGTAAACTCATTGGGTAACCGACCCCTTATACTATTTTGTAATCGATTTTACTAGCTCTCCGTATCCCTAGTGTATGAAGCTCATCAAAACGAATATAGGCGCCGCAATGATCATGGGTGAGCTTGGGTCACACCGGGTTACACGACCGCTGGGGCACCGGTTGATGCACCAGTGCAATGTGACCGCTAAATTAAGTAGTAACACTGGCCAGCTGCGCCGAACACTGAACTGACCTTTAGTACAAAGATAGTCACCGGGAAACTCAAGGTGACAAATAGCACCGCCTAATTGCCGGGGCGCCGCTCTTAGAAATAAAATAAAATGTAGTGCCAGAAACCTTCCCAAATGTCGATTTTGGGCCAACACTGCCTTGATAATTTTAAAAATTCTTTGGCGATTGGATGAAATTGTTGGTAGCGCTATATATATATATATATATATTACATATTAATTAGATCAACAAACGAAATTTCGTTTAGGTAAAAAATTAGTAGAAAAAACTTTGACAAATGTGGGACAGCTTGTTATGAAAAAAATCTCTTCAAGGCTATTTTTTTTAAATCGCTAAATTGCTATCATGGATGTAGGAAGGAATTTCGGGCAGGGTAGACTAATACAAAAAATACAAAAATTTCAATGTAAGCCTACAAATTTTATTTTTTTTAAAGACTGAATAAAGCCGATTTTTTTTTCCTTGGTCTAACGCCAAGTTTACGGTAGCTACGACACTGGTATTAGTCACACTTGGAATTTTTTGGGGATTAACTCCCTTACGCCTTTACTACATATGAAAATTTTTCCGCCTCGGAGAATTCTACAGTTTACCAAATTTACCAATGAAAATTCAGCAGAGATCAAGCAGCCATTCCAGTAAATATTAAACATATCACGTATTAATGAAAGTGAAAATCTTTGCGAGGTGGTATTCAGAAGTTCTTCTTCTATTACATACTTCATGCATAATTCTGAAACAAAATACAATATAACAATTATTTTTGTATATTAAAAATACAAATAATTAAGTCGACAACTTTTTATACATTTTACAATGAAAGTATTATTTCATTTATATTTCATTGTTAATAATCAGATCGTTTGAATATGTTCCCAAAAGTTTATCTACGAATGTGTGTATTCATAAGCTTTGAATTCATTAATAATTTTTGTGTGTTTATAGGAAAAGTCATAGTATTGTTTTCTTTTTACTAAGAAAGAGAACATTTTACTAAATCGTCACATCGCCTTGAAACTCATGTGCCGACATTTAAATCTAGCCGAAAACTTAACAGGCAAATAGGGCCTATACTATGAAAATCTTTCTTGACAAAACAAATAAGCGTCAAGTCTAAGATCTAAGCACAATAACAATGATTCTTATGTACATTAAGGTCGCAAATATTTGCCAGCTTATCAATATTATATCTGTAGGGCTTTTAATATTTTATCTAACCCGTTTAATACTTTTCTTGACTGACTATAACGCGTCAGTTAATCCTACATGATTTGTTTCATTATGTCTATTGTAACGATTCCACGGGATCTTTACCTGGGTTAGCCAGGGTTGGCCTATCGAAGTGGAAGTAACCTGACACCCCCAAACAAAGGAGAAGTTTGAACAGCGCTCGAATAGACGGCCAGGTAATTAAAATAAAATGCATTGACACGATCACTGACTGAGCGGTCATGCAAGAGCTATGACGTATGGCCGTGAGAAAACCTGGAGGCCGGCCAATTAGATCGCTATAGTGACGCTGTGTATAGTGACGGTCTATAGTTCATGTCTTGAACGCTCAATGGACTGGTCAGTATTGACAGTCGGAAGCTTAGGGGTTAGTCTAGTAAGATTTGACACTAGTGTTGGTGCAAAATTATCCCTGCACCTGGACTAGTATAACATATTCACTTTTACCCAAATACAACATGAATTGACAAAAACAGTTTCAGAAACAAATCATTACCTGGATAACCGTATTGTACAAGGGCGGAAATGAAATCATACACTTGGCTGGTTTCTTTGATTGCTGTATAAATTTTGTTCAAACTTTTTTGGCATATGTAGAAATGTAAAGGGTCAAACTGTTTCATTCTGGAAAATTCGTCTGTTATATCCTTAATGCAGTCCAATATTGCATCTCTATCGGGTATCTATAACACAGCAAATATAAATTGATTTGCCAATAACTAAATTACCGGCAAAGTTAGAAATTATTAAAAACGACTTCTTAAATATATATTTTTGGCAATTTATAATAAATCGTATACAGTTATGTTATTGTCTTTTGTTTACAACAAATACAAGGATTTGAATAAATAAATAATATTATATTTTTCTCTATATACGGTATATAAAAATAAAAGATGATTGCGGTTCGACACAGTTTATCCCGGTGCCATAAAACTTTAGGGAGTCGATGAAAACTCCCGATAAGGTTTCTGGGGTGGGAGGGGGAAATAGTGGTGGGTGGGTGGTGGGGAGGGGGGATTTAATTTTGCATGGGCAGCCCCCCCCCCCCCCGGCAGGAAGCGATTTGGCGCCTTGGTCTTTCCCCTGAGCGCTATGGTGACTACGTTTGATCTAAACAGTGTGATAGACAATGAATAGGATGGGGCTTTACTAAATTGAATCAGGCGTGTCCTCTGGCGCCATGGTAGGGTGCGATTAGGCTGCAAATAAAAATGTCTGTTTCGGCCCCAAAAGGATCACATGGGCCGCTGAGGGCCTTGTAATACGATTTATTTTAATAATCAGAAAAATTAAACAAGGTTAGATCATTAACTGGGATGTTTCTTTTTGTCCGTAAAAAAATCCAAACATTTTTGTCACTTTGCGAATGATGCTATTAGCATCTCTTTTTAGATAAACCAAGCAGAAATTGAGATCGAGCATCTAAGAATAGACCATTAGTAACGCTAACATATTGCATCAGTCACACTGATGTTTAAAACACGTCAAATAATTGTTTTACGTGTTAAATAATAAGTCCTGTTCATTTGTGTCACTTTAGCGAATGACGCAATCTGCATCATTGATAACAGGATGCTATTTGGCACGATGGCGCCTGTTAGTTTTAAGGAGCCATGGGTGGTACGCATCGCCTATGCGGTAGTGTAATCGGGAGGGGCTGGCTCCTGAGAGCGCCCCTCTACGTCTCTGACACATGGGCGGTCACCGAAGTGTGTTCTACCATATTAATTCGGTAAGAGATTAATGTACACTCAAGGTAGTGTACGTAAACCCGTGTCCCGATATTTATGATCAAAGCGCAGGCATTATTTACACTTAAATAACTCACATTTAGAAAATAGGCTGACGAGTCTAAGAATATAGGATTGGTAACGCATGAATGAAACCCTTCTTATAAATTCCGTCGGACTTTCTTCTATTCTCGCGGCAACGCGCGGGGACGGGTACGCTAGTATATATATGGCTCCCGGTCAAAAACCCCCTGGACATAAACCCCCCGACAAAAACCCCTGGACAAAAAACGGGTAATATATACATATACATATACATATACATATACATATACATATTGTGACCTACTCAGGTCTAGTAATGTTTTTTTTCTAGTTTGACATTTGTTATAATACCATATATGGTTTGTGGTGCAACAACCGGTTTTTTACCGCTGTCTTACTAAGAGAGTCTTAGACTCAGAAATTTTCCATCGAGAGATGATTGATTGTTTCAGACCAGATGACCACCTCAACCAATGGTCTTACGATCTGAAGGTGACCTTCCATGTTACCAAAGTCTATAAATAGATCGCCCACAGGTGTCTCAAGGCAGTCCATTTTGGCCAGTTGAATGTGAGAGAGCATAAGTCCTGCGTGTGCTATGTATTATTAAGTTGTTTAAGTATCCTAGTATTATATTACTTGTGGCCAAGTGATTCTTTATGCTATAGCAGTGTTATGTGAACTGTGGCTATTTTTATAAAGTGTTAGAATCTGTGATAGTATTTATTCTTACGCTTTGTAAGTTGGGTTTTGTTATTTCTAAACTAAATATTTTATCTTGTTTAATCTAGTGTTCTGCCACAACTTTGTTCACTTATTAAAAGTTGTATGCAGATTGAATGAGTTGTTAACTTCAATAGTTTCACTAGTTTTCCCTAGACCTCGAAACCGAGCCCTAGTGAGTTGTTGAGTTAGTTTTCATTCATTTAGGCTTTAGGTCATTTGCATATAACCCCAAGAAAGAATCCGGGAGCGTTCACCATCTATCTGGCTGGCAGATAGGTGTCCGTTACAAAGTGGGGACTCGCCGGCATTTAATCTGTTGTTCGAGTTGTTGGTTATAACAGTTAAACACTAGGTTTAGTTTGATTTAGTTGTTTATCTATCCAGTGGAGCCGTGTTATTAAAACGCGCTCAAGGCTAGAGTTATCTAGGTCAAAAAGCCAGACGTCCTAGATTTAAGGTCAAGTTCACAGAGCGTTGGGCTGTGTTAATTTAGGCTTGTTTTGATTTTGAAGTTAGTTGTAATGGAGTCTTTCTTGTCAAATCCCACAGTTGAGGAGGTAGAGAAGTTGAGTAGGAAAGTTTTGATTAGTGTTGTTAAGGAATTGAAGTTGGATTATTCTGTCACTCGGAAATCAGAGGTGTTAAGAGATAAAATTCTAGTTCATTTTATTAATGAAGGTGTATTTGATGAGAGTTTGTTGGCTGGGGTGATACTCCGTGAGGAGAAACCTCTAGAGAAGGTAGAATTAGAAGCTAGAATTGCTTTAGAGAAACAGGAGTTGGAGGCTAAAGTTACTTTAGAGAAGGCTTTAAAAGAACAAAAGTTAGAGGCTAAAATTGCTTTAGATAAGAGGAGGTTGGAATTAGAATTTGGTAAAGTTAGTGGAGCTGTCACTTCTCTAGTAGATCCTAAAAAGTTGTCGGTGGGGCAAGTGATTGCCAAATTTGGGAAATTAGTTCCTAAATTTGATGAAACAGATTTGGTTGTTTTCTTTAACTCATTTGAGAGTTTAGCGAAGACATGTGAATGGCCCGAAACTTCCATTACTGCTTTATTGAGCACGGTCCTTACAGGAAAAGCTGCAAAAACATATCAGGCACTCTCTCACGACGTTCAAAATAACTATAGTTTGGTCAAGACTGCCATTTTGAAGGCCTACGAATTGACTCCGGAGGCCTATCGGATAAAATTCCGAGCACTCCGCAAGCTACCCACTCAATCATATGTAGAATTTCTCTTTGAAAAAGAGAAAATTTTCTCAAGATGGCTAAACTCTGAGGAAGTTTCAGAGTTTGAGAAACTAAAATCACTTGTCCTGAGGGAGGAATTCCTAAAGTCCCTGCCTGAAGACATACGACTACACATACTGGATAACAAGATAATCGACATCCAGAAGGCTGCTGAGTCGGCTGACACATATATGTTGGTGCATAAGAAACCACCAGTGTCAGGAAACCGCCTCAACCCCGTGCTTCCCCTTTTTGGCAACAATCCCCCTGTTGGCCAACACTTGAAGGCGTTACAGTCCAGAGAGAAGCCAAGATCAACTCTCAATCGTCGAGCAGTATGTCAGTTCTGCAAGAGACCTGGTCACCATGTCAAGGACTGCTATAAGCGTCTTCAATTTAACAGAGAGATGGTGCGTACCTCTTCGCACTATGCTCTATCTCCTCAAGCAGCCAGTTCAAATATGAACTCTAGAATTCTAAGGGACACTAACCCTAAGTGTCCGCAGGAAGGCAGTCAAGTCTCCACACATTATGTTCAGTCACATTTTGACTGTTCACGCCACCATTCAGTTTCTTCCGAGTCTACCGATCTCGAGGGATCGAGAAAGGTTGACTTTTCATCTTTCATTACCGAAGCTATAATTAGCAAACCAGGTGATCCGTTGTCTCAGCAGAATATCACCGTCCTCAGAGACACAGGAGCGTCACAGTCACTTCTTTTGAAAAGCTCAATGGACATTACACCGGAGACGAACACCGGAAATGTTTCCATTATCCAAGGAGTGGGGGCAGAATCTACTGTCGTCCCTCTACACAAGTTTTCCCTGAAACATCATCTCGTCGAAGGTGAAGTCATTTTAGGTGTGATAGATAGTATTCCTGTCCCAGGAGTACACCTGCTTCTAGGGAATGACCTTGCGGGAAGCAAAGTATACCCCTGTACGGTTCAAAACCCTTTGTCAACAGTTCCAGATAATGATAATGAACTGTATCCTGCATGTGTGGTGACAAGAAGCCAGACCAAACAATTGGCTGACACAGCGCCTGAACCACACCTACCATCATCGTCGGGAAATCCATCTCCCAAACTGGAGTCTATGCTTCCGGAGAATACAAGCCTGGGCTTACCCCTGAGGATATCTCAGGAAGACATCATTAAAGCTCAACAAGTCGACGCGGAACTCAAAGCAATGGTCGAAAAATCTCTCTCAGCTGACGATGGGGAATATTTCTCCGAGAACGGCCTCTTCTTTCGTCGCTCTGTACCTGTGGATGCCTCACCTGCCGAACCATGGTTGGGTAAAAACCAGCTGTGGGTCCCTCCACCTTATCGGCATGAAATACTGAGACTGGCACATGACCATCCGATGTCAGCGCACCCAGGAGTCACTAAAACAATGGCGAAGATCAAAGAACTGTTTTTTTGGCCCAAAATGAAAAATGATGTGTCGCGTTACTGCAAAAGTTGCACGAACTGTCAGTTGGCCGGGAAGCCAAACCAGAAAATTCCTAAGGCCCCTTTGAGTCCGATTCCTGTATTAGAAGAACCCTTTTCTAAAATCATCATGGACTGTGTAGGTCCCTTGCCTAAAACCAAGGCGGGCAACGAGTACCTACTTACCTTTATGTGTTCAAGTACCCGTTTTCCCGAGGCGTTCCCCTTACGGAACATTAAGGCAAAGACTGTAGTCAGAGCCATGACCCGGTTCTTCACTACCTTTGGATTACCTAGAATCGTTCAAACAGACCAAGGCAGCAACTTCACCAGTCACCATTTTCAAGAAGCGCTAGCCAAGCTAGGCGTTACCCACATCACTAGCTCAGCCTACCACCCTCAGTCTCAAGGGGTACTTGAGAGGTTCCACCAGACCCTAAAACCATGCTGAGAACATTCGCTAAAAGTAACACCCAATGGGATGAGACTGTTCCATGGATTATTTTCGCCGCTA